CACCAACTCACCCACCTCACTCCCTCACCAATTCACCCACCTCACTCCCTCACCAAATCACTCCCTCACCAACTCACCCAACTCACCGCGCCATCCACTCCACCGCCACGCCATTAAACCCCCCCCCCCCCCCCCCCCCGACAAACTCACCGCCTGTCCTTGAACACCTCTCCCGTGTGCTCTATCACGTACACCTCCTCCTCCTCCAAAGTCTTCATCTCCACCGCATTCTCCTCCACCTCGTCCCGCTGCTGCCGCCGCTGCTGCTGCCGCTGTTGTTGTTGCTGTGGCCCTTCGGCGTCCGCCCTCCCGCCCGTGTCGCGTCTCGGGCCGAGCGGGAAAGGTTTGCGGCCCAATAACGGCGCCATAGTTCTCACACACACACTTTCTCTCTGTCTCTCTCTACGTTCCCCTCTCGTTCTCACCCCACACACACACCCCACACACACACCCCACACACAACCTCTCCCGGGCGCGGCTCGATGGGCGATGGAGAGGCTTCGTTGTTGGGTTGCGGGAGGGTTCTCGTTCGTGGTGGAGAACCGGGGGGCGCCCTTTCAGCCCGGCCGTGGTTTTGCTCTCGCCACCCCCACCCCTCCTCCTCCTCTCCGCCACCGCCGCCGCCGCTTCTCTAGCCACCCGCGTCTGCCCACCACCACCACGGCCACCACCACCACTACCAACCACGACGACGACGACCACCACCGCCGCCGCCTCTGTCTTTCCCACCCCTCCCCTCTCTACCTCCTCCTCCTCAAGGCGCCGATTTCAAAAATGGCGGGAAGCGGACGAGGGGGCAGCCGCGCGCCGCCTCGCGCGATTGGCCCGCGCCGCGTCACGTGGTGGGTAATTGGCGGCGGGGGTGGGGGGGGTGCTGTGGGTGAGGGGAGGGGCTCTGGTTGGGGGGGGGTCACGTGGTGCGGGTCCGGGCGCGGGAGAGATGAGGGAGGGGTGGGTGGGGGGAATGAGGGGGCGGGGCTGTGGGTGAGGGGAGGGGCTCTAGTGGGAAGGGGGGGTCACGTGGTGCGGGTCCTGGCGGGAGAGATGAGGGAGGGGTGGATGGGGGGAATGAGGGGGAGGGGCTGTGGGTGAGGGGAGGGGCTCTAGGGGGAAGGGGGGTCACGTGGTGCGAGTCCTGGCGGGAGAGTTGAGGGAGGGGGTGGGTTGTAGGTGAGGGGAGGGGCTATGGGGGTGGTCACGTGGTGCGGGTCCTGGCGGGAGAGTTGAGGGAGGGGGTGGGGGGAGTAAGGGGAGGGGCTCTGGTGGGTGGGGGAGTCACGTGGTGCGGGTCCTGGCGGGAGAGTTGAGGGAGGGGGTGGGCTGTAGGTGAGGGGAGGGGCTATAGGGGGGTCACGTGGTGCGAGGCCCGGAGCTGGCCGTAGGTGAGGGGAGGGGCTCTGGGGAGGTCACGTGGTGCGGATTTGGGCGGGAGAGATGATGGAGGAGGGGGGGGGGCTCTGTGTGAGGGGAGGGGCTGTTGGGGTGAGGGGAGGGGCTTTGGTGAGTTGGGTCACGTGGTGCGAGCCCGAGGGGGAGGGGCTCTGGGGCGGTCTGTCTATCCCCAGGTAAGATGGCGTCGGCATTCCGTGGGCAGCGGATGTGACGTCACTCGAGGCGTTCCACTTCCTGTCCCGTCCACTCCCCACCCCCCCCTCAAGGCAGACCACGTGACGAGCTCCCCCTCCCTGGCACCCTCCCTCACTGCCCCCACCCCTCACTCCCCCCACCCTCACTCCCCCCACCCTCAATCCCTCTCCCCCCCCTCACCTCCCTCTCCACCCCCTCCCTCACCCCCCCGCCCCCTCCCTCACCCCCCCGCCCCCTCCCTCACCTCCCCCTCCGCCCCCTCCCTAACCCCCCTCCACCCCCTCCCTCACCTCCCTCTCCACCCCCTCCCTCACCCCCCCCGCCCCCTCCCTCACCCCCCCCCCGCCCCCTCCCTCACCCCCCCCGCCCCCTCCCTCACCACCCCCCTCCCTCACCTCCCCCTCCCGCCCCCTCCCTAACCCCCGTCCACCCCCTCCCTCACCTCCCTCTCCACCACCTCCCTCACCCCCCTGAACCCCCTCCCTCACCCCCCCCCCGCCCCCTCCCTCACCACCCCCTCCGCCCCCCTCCTTCACCCCCCCTCCCCCAAGTGAGACCACGTGACCCTCGTCTTCACCCTCCCCCCCACCAACCCAGACTCCTCCCTCACCTTTAAGCGATCCAATCAGAGCGCGCGTTGCTCGGCGGCTCTCGGGCCAATCGCGTGCGGTCGCCTTGGACTCAACGTCTCTGTGCGAGGCCGGCTTCGAAGTGGATGCCCAGGGAACCCGCAGCAGAAACGTTACTTTTGCGTTACTTTCGCGTTACTTCCCCCCACGTTACTCTGCCCCCCACCCCCTCCGTTACAGGGCGCTGTTGTGTGACCCCCCCCCCATCCTTCACGTTACACCCACGTCCGTCTTAACGTTACTCCCACGTGGCCCTGATTTGGTAGTGGTGGGTGGGGGCGGTGGAGTGTCTCCGTTACACTCGCGTTACTTTTCCACTCGTTACTTTTTAATTACTTTACCACCCCCCCGTTGACTCGGCGTCGCCGGAGCCATGAGCATCCTACAGAAAATCTCGGAGATCGAGGGAGAGGTGAGAGACCCATAGACTCACTCACACAGAGACCCATAGACTCACTCACACAGAGACCCATAGACTCACACAGAGACCCATAGACTCACACACACAGAGACCCATAGACTCACTCAGAGACCCATAGACTCACTCACACAGAGACCCATAGACTCACCACTACACAGAGACCCATAGACTCACTCACACAGAGACCCATAGACTCACTCACACAGAGACCCATAGACTCACTCACACAGAGACCCATAGACTCACTCACACAGAGACCCATAGACTCACTCACACAGAGACCCATAGACTCACCACTACACAGAGACCCATAGACTCACTCACACAGAGACCCATAGACTCACTCACACAGAGACCCATAGACTCACTCACACAGAGACCCATAGACTCACTCACACAGAGACCCATAGACTCACTCACACAGACACCCATAGACTCACTCACACAGAGACCCATAGACTCACCACTACACAGAGACCCATAGACTCACTCACACAGAGACCCATAGACTCACTCACACAGAGACCCATAGACTCACTCACACAGAGACCCATAGACTCACTCAGAGCCCCATAGACTCACTCACACAGAGACCCATAGACTCACTCACACAGTGACCCATAGACTCGCTCACACAGAGACCCATAGACTCACTCACACAGAGACCCATAGACTCACCACACAGAGACCCATAGACTCACTCACACAGAGACCCATAGACTCACTCACACAGAGACCCATAGACTCACTCGCACAGAGACCAATAGACTCACTCACACAGAGACCCATAGACTCACACAGAGACCCATAGACTCACTCACACAGAGACCCATAGACTCACTCACACAGAGTCCCATAGACTCACTCACACAGAGACCCATAGACTCACTCACACAGAGACTCATAGACTCACTCACACAGAGACCCATAGACTCACCACTACACAGAGACCCATAGATTCACTCACACAGAGACCCATAGACTCACACAGAGACCCATAGACTCACACAGAGACCCATAGACTCACTCACACAGAGACCCATAGACTCACTCACACAGAGACCCATAGACTCACTCACACAGAGACCCATAGACTCACTCACACAGAGACCCATAGACTCACTCACACAGAGACCCATAGACTCACACAGAGACCCATAAACTCACTCACACAGAGACCCATAGACTCACCACTACACAGAGACCCATAGACTCACTCACACAGAGACCCATAGACTCACTCACACAGAGACCCATAGACTCACTCACACAGAGACCCATAGACTCACTCACACAGAGACCCATAGACTCACTCACACAGAGACCCATAGACTCACTCACACAGAGACCCATAGACTCACACAGAGACCCATAGACTCACACAGAGACCCATAGACTCACTCACACAGAGACCCATAGACTCACCACTACACAGAGACCCATAGACTCACTCACACAGAGACCCATAGACTCACTCACACAGAGACCCATAGACTCACTCACACAGAGACCCATAGACTCACTCACACAGAGACCCATAGACTCACACAGAGACCCATAGACTCACTCACAGAGACCCATAGACTCACTCACACAGAGACCCATAGACTCACACAGAGACCCATAGACTCACTCACACAGAGACCCATAGACTCACTCACACAGAGACCCATAGACTCACTCACACAGAGACCCATAGACTCACTCACACAGACACCCATAGACTCATTCACACAGAGACCCATAGACTCACTCACACAGAGACCCATAGACTCACACAGAGACCCATAGACTCACACAGAGACCCATAGACTCACACAGAGACCCATAGACTCACTCACACAGAGACGCATATACTCACTCACACAGAGACCCATAAACTCACTCACACAGAGACCCATAGACTCACTCACACAGAGACCCATAGACTCACTCACACAGAGACCCATAGACTCACTCACACAGAGACCCATCGACTCACTCACACAGAGACCCATAGACTCACTCACACAGAGACCCATAGACTCACTCACACAGAGACCCATAGACTCACTCACACAGAGACCCATAGACTCACTCACACAGAGACCCATAGACTCACTCACACAGAGACCCATAGACTCACTCACACAGAGACCCATAGACTCACTCACACAGAGACCCATAGACTCACTCACACAGAGACCCATAGACTCACTCACACAGAGACCCATAGACTCACTCACACAGAGACCCACAGACTCACTCACACAGAGACCCATAGACTCACTCACACAGAGACCCATAGACTCGCTCACACAGAGACCCATAGACTCACTCACACAGAGACCCATAGACTCACCACACAGAGACCCATAGACTCACTCACACAGAGACCCATAGACTCACACAGAGACCCATAGACTCACTCACACAGAGACCCATAGACTCACTCACACAGAGACCCATAGACTCACTCACACAGAGACCCATAGACTCACTCGCACAGAGACCCACAGACTCACTCACACAGAGACCCATAGACTCACTCACACAGAGACCCATAGACTCACTCGCATAGAGATCCATAGACTCACTCACACAGACCCATAGACTCACTCGCATAGAGACCCATAGACTCACAGAGATGATTCTGATGCTGATGATGTTGGTGATGGTGATAATATTGGTGGTGATGTTAGTGATGATGGTGAGGATGTTGGTGATGATGGTGTTGGTGATGATGTTGATGGTGTTGGTGATGAT